GGTAGAGAACGAGAGAAAAGGAGTTCGTCGCTCCTGACAGAGTGACGGGTTCAATTCACGACCGTGTAAAGGCGAGTTGCGGAGACGAACGTGAAAGTCGTACCGCAATATTTGCGCAGTGAGATCCCGGTATATAGAGTCCTACAATCTGACTGTCGTGCCACATATCCTATCTCTCCAAGCATGTGCCCAGCCCAAGCAATCGCCCACCTTCCTTCTACAAACAGCACTAGTAGTGTGGCGCTCGCATCCAAGGCTTCCCCAGATCCTGTGCAGAGGCTCAGCTAGCTTGGGCGTACCCTACTACTCGGGTACAACGGGTCTTGGGTGATCAGTAGCTCTACATTGGTTGGTTCGCTCCATCCTGAGCGCTCAACACCACTGCCGATTCCGTACCAGGCGTGCATGTATTTCGGACATGGCGCTGAACCTGTGTTGGCGCGTCAGCCACGGAGGGGAATGAGATATCGTCTGGTCAGTTCAGTCGGTCTTAGGTTCTAGTGTATTGATCTTGGCGCGCGGTAAAGCTTGCGCACGCGACGAAGCTCGACGCATCCAGGTCTGGGGTAATGCTCGGAATCCGTCTATGGCTTGCGAGTGGGACCAGAGTTGGCCGTCAGCCACGAGGGGTCCGATACGTCTTGGTGCCTAAGCACGATGGCCTCGGCGTGCGTTTGTGGTCACACACGTGACCCATCGGGACGCATCTACATCAGTAATTGTTATATCGTTCAGGTGTCTTTTGGCGACACGCGTCCGATGAACAACGGGCCACCCGGCTCAACTATTCCCATTGAACTTCCTCACCTACATGGACAGGTTCCCGGTCAGCCAGCTGGGAGTAAGGTTACGCCGATTGATTGCTATCAGTCAGACGGCGTCCGGCTATGCGGCACTCACTTGGCCTTGGCGGCTTGGATGCCCAGTGATCTGGGTCGGGCGTACAGTCGCTCCCACGACTGTATGTGTTGGTATGACCCTTCCATGATTGAATGAGAAGGTGTTGGCGTTGGTAATGATGATAGGGACTCGGGTCGCTTGGCCATGGTCGCAATTCAGCGGCTATCTGCGGCACGGTGGTGGTTTTCGGGAAGCGTCGCTCATTGTGGACGTCTTCTAGAAGCAAGAGTGGTCTACAAGGCGTCCTAGATTGCCATGGTGTTGTGTGCCTCCTCTTGCTGCATTGCGCTAATCCTGTGCCGGCTTGTGCCTGGGTGTTTGGAAGGGGCGTGGGAGAGGCAGCATCGTGCCTACTTAAGTCACTTTGGCAACGTCGCGTTAATCAGGGGTAAGCTCAATGAACAAACTGTTTCGATCGCGAAGAATCGCGAAACTGTGAAATTTAGGGGCATTGCCAGTTGTTATATAGCACGGAGGTTGATGGATCACTCGTAGGGCGCGCGGGCGGGAGTGGAGGCTAGCGCCGATTTCGGGGATGTCGGACCCGTCTCGGAATGATCGTGCGGCGGAGAACTTTACGACCTCATGTTCTCAAACCTACCTGTTGCAAAGATATGGCGTATTTGGATATAGTGGTAGACGAGTCGCACCTCGTTTCGTTGCTGGAGATGGATTCGGCATTACCGCTCATGCTCAACTTCAAAGAAACGCGCATGGACAGAGCGTAGCAGCAATGAGATGAACTTGGTATCGAGACTACGGGAATGAAGGAGGAAGCTGTCCTCGTGAAAATGAAAAGAACTGTGTAGGAGATCGTTTCAGTCGTTACCCACACTCAATCACACCTCAAACTCCAAACCCCAGCTCTCTCAACCCCATCACCACCCTACCACCAGCCTCCTCCACACCCTCCCACAGCCCCCTCAACCCCTCATCGCTATCTCCCAACACCGGATCCTTTTCTGGCATGCCCACTTTCCACACCTCCCCCTCTTTCCCGTCATGCTCACCTCCAACAGCGAAGTCCCAAACTCCGCCATAAGGATACGCACCCATCATCATGAACTTCCCGCCGCTGACATCCACACTCTCAAAGAACCTCCTCCTCTCCGTCTCCTTCTCCTCATCAACCTCCGCCGCCCTCCCCTCCTCTACATCCTTCGGTTGGTGAAACGCCAATTCCTCGTTCCGCGGTCGCGGCAAAAAGGTTTTGTGGCTAACCCCCGCTGGGATGATGAAGACATCGCCCAGTTCCGCTTTGATATCCACGCCACCAACCTCTCCATCTCCTCTTTCACCCGGTTCGTATTTCCCCTGCGACCAAGACGGGGAGTCAGCGACGCCGAAACGGATCCATGCGCCTTCGCCTGAGATAACGGTCATGGCTTCGTGGGTAGTGGAGTGGTAGTGCGATTGTATATCCATTCCGTACTGCGCTATCCATTGTGTTTGCCAGCCATTCGATGCATAAAGGTCGAGAATCTCTCTTGTTTTGAAGTGCGGTGATGTAACCATATCGTAGAGAAGGCCGGGGTAGTGGAGCAGCGGGTATGGTGAGTTAGGAATAAGGGCTGTAGGAGGGAGTTTGTATTCGTGGACTTTTGTCGCCATTGTAGGATCCGGACGAGGTATCTTTGAGTATTTGGGTTTGATGTGGAAGATCCCGCAGAATAAACGAGACAGGAGATGTCTAAAACGCCCCATCGGATTAGTCGCGACGGGAGTAACCGTCGAAGTTTGGTACGGTGAGGGGCGGGGTTGAGTTTGTTGGTCACCTTGGAAGGAGTGGGGTATACTAACGGATATACACATGAGGAAGTGCTTACCCAAATAGGAAGTAGCAGCGCGGGGTTCCACGTCAGAACTATTAATGGGATGGGAACCGAGATATCTGCACCTTTGTATTTGTAATTTGCCTGCGCCGGACACCTGCAGTTTCGCGATATTATCTTTACCCCAGATGCTTCAGTTACTTTAGCTAGCTTGGAGTGCTGCTGCAATCGATTGGCAAAGTTACGATTTCGTGTGCAAGGAAGGCTCAAGCACTTCATACCTAAACTTGACACAATTTTGGCAACTTGCACAATGCCTTGGAGCTTTTCCGACGACCCGTGAGTGGAGCTAAGGAGATGCAGCTTCAGTGCAGGTATACCTATCCCTTGCGCAATATCTAACGGAAGGGTACATACCTAGGTACTGAAAGATATGGCAAGAGGTTCTTGTGAAGTTTCTGCCTAAATACGCGCCGGCTATCCTACGCTCTTACTCCTCCACTACGACTCTAACCTGATGCGGAGGTACTGACATCTTAGCATACATCGGACGACTGGGAGCAGAGCAATGGGCCAATGAGAAGCCGCGTCTTTCAACACCGAGACCTAAGGATCCTTAGACGAATTACAATATGCAGCTAAAGCTGCAATCAATACATCTCGGTCTCGTGCAACATATCCCTACTCACATTGGGCGTACCTTTCAAAACTCCGCTGTGACGAACCACTCACCCTCGCTATCGAACACTCCTTGCACGATCTTCGACTCCTTACATCGCGCCTCGCAAGCACTGGATCCTTTGCACCAATTCCGCTCCGCACCCCCCATCTACCCAAAGTGAACCGAGCCCTGGAGATGTCTACACTACCAACGGCATGGCAAAATATTAGTTTTCTTTGGATTCACGATAGCACCCGTGAATATCGATCACTACCTACTCAAACTCCAGCACAACCTCACCATCCGCCTGCAATGACACCTCACGACCCCAAGGAGTCTGCGTAGCTCGTCTCATACCACGAGGCGCCTGCACCACGAGAACCACGAAGCCACTGGCCTACGTAAGACCAGAATACCTTGTATCAGGCGAAACAGTATAATTTGCCTGCTCGCACTCTCCAAATCTAGTTGCTTCATCTTCATCCCTCACTCACAACCACAGCTCCATTCACCATGAAGAACACTATCCTGAGCTTTCTTCTAGTGGGACTACACGCCCGCCTTGGTAGCGGTATGCCTCAACACGTTCTCGCAGGCACCGACAAACGTCTCTCGCTCCGCCCACAGCAACAGCTCAGCGTCACGATCAACATCGCGTACTCCCCATTCCATGATTCATCAGCGGGACATTGTGTTACAGAAGACTTTGGCTGCGAGCAAGGCTATTGCTGGAGGAAAGTCAGTTTAATTCCATCCGCTTCAAGGGGTATTCCATGTCGTCGAGATGCTGATACATGCGCTAGTGTACGTGCGCTGGAGATTGGTGCTGGGGGCGAGATTCCAATGGCAACTCTGCCTTATGTAAGACTGCTGCTGATTGCCCCGTGGTTGCAGTTGCGTGCCCGGTGAATGGGTGCCCTGATGGCTGTGCTGATAAGTGATGAGCTGATCAGCTTATGCGATCTTGATCTATGACTACGCCTCTTGCCTGCTGTTTGGCCAATCCTTCTTTTTGGCTTACAAGATGGCAAAAGGCTCATTAAATAGAATTGAATAGAAAGCTGTATGATCAATTTACTGTGTCTTCTGACTTCCTACCCACTGTCTCGATCTTGTCCATGAAAGCACACGATCAATTGACCAAGACTAGCTTGTGATCCAGTCGCCAGTAGGGCTTGGTCGTTCATCGCTGGCCAATCATCCTAGCCATTTCGCAGTCGCTCTTACTCGAAAATCACCAGTCGGTGTTGTTCGGGTGCTACAAATCACCTCGCCACAACGGCAGTAAGCTTATGCATGTACGACACAGCCACGGTTCGACAAATTGGGCATCTCTCCATTGATATAGCAGTGCTGGCACGCACAACGCTAGATATGAGATCGTGGACTCGTGTACGACAGTGTAGTCAACCGCTGGTCTCATTGCATGAGGAAATTCCAACGTCCACTGTTACGTACATCCAAAGAGGTCGGCCCTGGTGCCGATAGCTGCACCACTAAGATACGTTTTCGTGTACGATTGGAGGCTTACGATGACCTGACCTAAAGCGGTTAGCGTAGAAGTCAACGAAGCAGGTGCGGTGCTCAGCCTTAACTCTCAAGCAGCAAATACGTTTAACATCTATAGATGACGATAAGAAAACCACATCAACACCTCCTTACCAACAATGACCACTGCAGACCAAGCTTGCGGGCCGGTATATACCAAGCACTTCATTCCCCTCGAGTCAAATCCAGACGTCTTCACCGAGCTTGCGCATAAGCTCGGTTTATCCACCTCATTAGTCTTCGAGGATGTGCTCTCTTTGGACGATCCAGAACTGCTTGGCTTTCTTCCGCGTCCCGCTTTTGCGTTGATACTGGTGTTTCCGACGACGGACGACTATGAAAAGCGAGTTCAAGACGAGGACGCTAAGCTTGAGGAGTTTCGAACCTCTGGAGGCGCTGGTGACGTGATCTTCTTCAAACAGACCATCAATAATGCATGCGGTCTTTATGCGATATTGCATGCTGTCTGTAATGGCGAGGCGCGACGGAGGATCGGTATGATAGCCATGAACTTAATGAACAACCGTACTGATATCGGCCAGACGGCAACTCAATCATCGCCCAATTACTTGATGCTAGTCTGACGCCAGATTCGGACGAGCTGGCGAACAATGGGCTCGAACGGGCGTACGCTGGAGTAGCAAGCAAGGGAGATACTGAAGCACCTCTCAACGCGGAAGACGAGGTGGACTACCATTACATCGCCTTTGTCAAATCAGCCAAAGACAGCCATCTGTACCAACTTGACGGCGACCGCAAGCGGCCGATAGACCTCGGGGCGCTCACAACAGATGAAGACGTTCTATCTGAGAAATGCCTTGGCGTTATTCGCGGTATGATGGCAAGCGAAGAGGAGAACCCCAACTTCAGCCTGATGGCTTTGGTGGAGCAAGCAGATATGTAGGTAGCCAAGGAGTCACACTCTTCGTAGGATTTCTCCGAAGAGCGAGGAAGTGTGAACTATGAAGGACCTTTTTATTTGTTCTTGCAACGGACTTCGTCAGACGAAGAATGCACGTACTGAAGTACAGCCGCATACACCACAGCTGAGCAAGACGCAAAGCTGTGGGATGCTCCCCCGAAAGGGACTCGTAAAAGTGTCGAAGGCTCAAGTGGCTGGTGTGCGGGTTGCGTCCTATTGTGGATGTGTGTATTGAGAATGACATGGCGACATAGTTTCGTCCTCACATTAGAGGCTGACGACGTCTGTCATTGTGATGTTGTAGGTGGAAGTGGGTGAGTGGGAAGAAAAGTTGAGATGTTCGCCGCATGGACCACCGCGCTAGGCTAGCTCTCGAGGAACCGCGAGCCCTGAGCTTCACTTCGACCGACCGCGAGCGCGACCACGCCTTCCCCACTTCCCTCCTACCAATCGCAAAGATGACGAAGAAACGCAGAAGATATCCGGATTTGAACCAGAAGCTCGAGGTACGATATGCGCACCCAAATCGCATACAGCGCCCATACTGACGTCTGCAGCGACCATGGTGTTACTACTGCGAGCGCGACTTCGACGACCTGAAGATTCTCATCTCTCACCAAAAGGCCAAACATTTCAAATGCGACCGCTGTGGAAGACGGTTAAATACAGCTGGAGGTACGCACCGCTCGATTCAACTCCTCGCACTGATTAAGCAATACTAACAGCTTCTCAGGTCTCTCCGTGCACATGAACCAGGTCCACAAGGAGACGCTCACCCACGTTGAAAATGCCAATCCCGGCCGCCAAGGCCTCGAGCTGGAGATCTTCGGTATGGAGGGTGTCCCGGCCGAGATAATAGACCAGCACAACCAGCAAGTCACACAAGCACATTTCGCCGAGGAGCAAGAGCGCGCGCGAATTACCGGTAATCCCATGCGTGGAGCGTACGTCAATGGCCAAGCTGCACCGAACAAGAGGCCGAAGATCAACGAGAGCCTGGAGGAGATCGAGAAGAGGGCGGCTCAGTTCAGGGAAGATCGAAAGAACGGCGTGCTACCCGCGCCTGTGGAGCCAGTACAGACTGCTGTATGTATTCGAGACTCTGGACAGGGAAAGGATATGGGACTAACATATCCACAGACACCACCAGTTGCGCAGACACCGTACGGCGTACCGCCCCCTGGCGCTCCCGTCGCCTTCCCACCCGGCGCGCCCGCATACCCTCCCCAAGGCGTCCCACAACCTTTCTCGCCCGCCAACGGTGGCATGCCTCCACGGCCTGGCAGCATACCCGGCCAACCTGGCGCGTTACCTCCTCGACCAGGTTTCGGCGCTCCACCACCGGGTGCATACCCGCCTGGTCAGAACGGCGACATATCCAACTCTGTTGACGATCTGATCAACGAAGTGACCAAGGAGGCCGCGCCGAAAGAAGAGAAGAAGAGCAAAAAGGACAAGAACCAGCGCCTCATCTTCTTCGCCGAGACGACAAGTCCCGAGGAGAAGATGGCAGCGCTGCCGAGGTTTGCGGATTTCATGCGGACGTGATGAGACAATGGGCGGTTTGCTGTGTATAACGAGAGAAGGCCAAGCTGCGACTATGCACGTTGGCATTCATGCGAAGGAGCCTTGAGGCCAGCGCAAGGGCAAGAGCCGACAGATGCTACACGACGCAGGACGGACCGCATCAATCAAGGCGTTGCGGCGCGAGACTCTGGCTTTGCATGTGATGTCTAGCTATCAGCGATCACCTTACCAAGATCAAAACGTCGAAGTCCAGAATGGACTGATCTCACGATAGCTCAATGACACTTGATAGCATAGCACAATGGAACAAACCAAGCTTGAGAAGTCAGGGTATCTTGCAATTCAACGCATCCAGTAATTATACAACAGTCGTGTAGTAGCCCCCGCCCAAGTCCAACCAAACCAACCTTCCCAAGCCTTATCGTCGGTCGTAAAAGCCCGACTGATCACCCTCCTCTTCCTCTTCACTATCTTCAGTATACTCCTCACTCCGCTCATCATCGCTGCTACGATCTTCGCTCGCACGCGCCCACTCTGAACTCTCCGTGAACAACGACTCCCCGAGATCCAGACCGCGCGTGTGAGTCGTACCCATTATGCCCTCCTCATCTTCCTGCGTTGTATCCGCGGCGTCTTCCATCTCCGGCATGGGATCGACTTCCCTCAGCAGCGCCTTCTCATCTAGCTCATCGCCAGCAGTAGCGAAACCAACAGACTTGGCTGTACTGGGCCGTTCGTGGACTTCGGTATGTTCAACGCGACGAGGTTGCTCTTCAATGACATCGCCGTTCCAGGGCCGGCATTCCTTGACTGTCTCGCCGCAGCGGAGGCACGTCCAGCCTTCGCCTTCTTCGTTTGCGATGCGTTGCGCGATGCAGGCGAAGCAGTATATGCAGCCACAGGGGATGGTTTCGTAGGGGTTGGTGATGTCGGTTGTTGCGGAGCCGACGACGCCGCCGCCGCCAGCCGAGGAGGTGAGGATGTCGGCTTCGGTGGTGGTTGTGGGGTTTTGGTCGCGGTAGCAGATTGCGCAGGTGCGTTCGGGCAGGAAACCGAGTTCGCCGGCTGCTTTGCTCTCCTCGTCGTCTTCGTCGTTGGCGGGTTTCGAGCGGCCGAGCAGCGAGAGCACGGTCGTGCGTAGCTTCTTGAATGTGCGGCTTAGGATGCGGCGCCAGCGCGAGATGCCGACGAGTGGGAGGAGGAAGAGGAGGAACTCGGTGAAGGCGTGCCAGACGAGTTGGCGGTTGAGGTACTCGAAACTGACTTCGCGTGATGTGGAGTGCGAGGTTGGTGTTAGGCGTAGACGGAGGAGGCGGTCGGTTATGGTTCTATACCGGCCGTCGACGAGGAAGACGAGGAAGCTGGCGAGACCGAGGACGTCGTGTGCGTTTCCGGCTAGTTCGCTCAATCGTCCTAGGACTTTTAATCGCGCGCTCTCGGGTCGGGTGTAGTCTTCTGAAGCGGATAGAAGGTACTCTTCCCACTTCGTCCACGCATACCGTCCGCCCATTGTGACAGCCCCGTATGCAATCTTCTGCCACGGCTTAGGTGGTGGGCGATTCGGCGCACTACTCCGCGCATCCGTGTACCTCAGCCCCTGTAGATGCGCGCCATAACTCGCGTTCTGGTCCCAAATGCTCAGTTTCCACAGTACAGCCCTCAATGCCAGCAATATCTCTGGTGAGTAATGATCTGTGATATGGCTTCCGAAGTACTTCAAGCCCTCGCCGACTTGACTCTTCATCAGGGTAAGGAGTTCCTCATCGAGGAGTTCGGCATCGACTTGGCCAACGCGGAACTCTGGCCGTGTTCCCGACCGGCCTTTTATCGCGTCCCAGACGCTGAATCCAGTCGAGGAGACGCTGCTGAAGGGGAAGGGCAGGCGCGAGAGTGCGCGTTGTGCGGTTGATTGCGGCGGCTCATGGTGATTGCGCTGCTGAAGGGCGCGTTGAGCGCGGCGAGCTGCGATGCGTTGCTGGGCGGCGGCGAAGTCTGCGGAGGGCATTTGGGAGCATTGGGAGGGTGGATGTCACGGGCGTGGTTGGCGATGGCGCGAGATGTGGCTGCAACGTGACAGCGTGATGGGGAGACGAGGCTCGAGTTGCGACGGACCGAGGTTGGCTGGGGAAGGCGTGGGAGTAGCCGATGCGCGCGACGCCTTCTCCAGACACGCCGGGGCCACGTTCAGACACGCCCATAACAGTGCTTCTGTGGAGAGACCATATTCGAGTACACGCTAGACAGATGACACACACTTGATCATCCTCTGCGCAGTATATGTCAACTGCCAACAAGGTGCCCCAGAATCACTGTCTCGTGTCTCGGAGGTCCGAGCTGTCAGGCGGGGAGCTTCTCGAATTTGTTTCCCAAACACCAAGATAGACTTCCCAGACAAGACTTGCCGCATCCTGATCGCAGCCTGGGTGAGCAGGCTCCATAGACTGTACATTCCGCTGAGCCGTGAGCCGCTTCCGCCCAGCTACTTGCCTGTTCCTGCCATATCCAAAAGTTCACCTACTTGCGGCTGCCCCACTACCGCGACAGTTGACCGTCAACACTCACAGCATGAACACAGAGTTCAGCATTGAAGCGCCGGCGGAGGCGAATCCTCTGACTGAGAGCATCTTGTTCCACGTCCTGCGATCAGCGTCCTCAGCAGACCAAACCCAAGTGCAGACGGGCACCAAGCAACTCCAGCAATGGGAAAAGGCCGCGGGTTTCTATCCTCTGCTGCAGGTATGCATATCTTAGCTCCCTGAACTGTACCGGACTGACACTAGTAGACGGTGTTCCTTGACCAATCCCTCCCCCTCGAAGTTCGCTACCTCGCCGTTATCCAGCTCAAGAACGGCATCGACAAGTACTGGCGCAAGACTGCCACCAAGTACGCCTCCACATAAAGCCGCAGAGATGCATAGGCTTACGTGACCGCAGTGCTGTAAGCAAAGAAGACAAGGCTACCATACGGGCCCGTCTACTCGAAAGCGCTGTCAACGAAGCCGACCATCGCCTGGCCCTACAGAATGCTCTCGTCGTCGCTAAGATCGTCCGTTTCGAGTTCCCAAATGACTGGTCAGTCCCAACCCAGCATATACTTTCCTACTCTAACACTTTCTAGGCCAGATCTATTCCAACAACTACTCCACATCCTTCGCGCCTCGACCGATCCGAACGCCTACCGCTTACAACTCCCTCGCGCCCTTCTCGTCTTGCTATACATTGTTAAGGAACTGTCAACTGGAAGACTTCTACGAACACGGCAGAGCTTACAGACCGTCGCGCCGGAGATCTTCAACGTACTCGGCACCATCTACGTGAACAAGGTGCAAACATGGCAAGCCTTCTTTCGCGATGGCGGAGACGACGAAGGCGGTGCGCTTGAGAGCATCGACAACAGCCTGCTTGCTATCAAGACTATGCGGAGACTCATAATCGCCGGCTACGAGTTCCCAGGC